AGGTATGCAAAACAAAGGTCCCATTAGTTAGACATTGGGTCAAAATGTGGTCAAACAAGCAAAGTATGTGTCAAACGATTGTTAACAATAGGTATTCCGTGACATCACTTCGAGTCACATCGAAATCTTATATATTTTTTTATTCAAATCCAATGATTTACTCGAACTTCAAGGCGACTATTGTTTGAAAGGTATGTCACATATTAAATACTATATTATAAATTATAGCCATTTGTGTAAAAGTAATACTTAAAATACAATTAAACTAAATTGTTTCTCTTTTGAAAAATAGGCTGATTTGGTGTTAATTATAAATAACTTTGATCTAACAATAGAAACAATTGTGAATTTAAATTAAAAATTTTATTTCCCAATATATAGATCACGACATGTAGTCCAATTTTAATTGTGTTTAACTATTAAATTTTTTTATCGACATCCAAATATCTTAAATAGAGTTATACCAAATTGAAATTATAAAATATACTATGCCTTCAATATTAAAAAACAATATTAAATTAAACATTGAATTGACCTTGAAATTATTGCAAAGATTTTTAACTATCATGTAATTCATGTTATGATACCATGTTCATTTCAGTGTTTAATTTGTTAATAATTACATTTAAAACTTAACATGTTAATTTAGACTTATTTTTAATATTTATTTTTTAATAGAAGACATTTAGTGATGTGTACAATTAAAATGTTTTACATTTAATAGACTTTAATTATTCATATGATATATAATTAGTCTTCATTAATAAATGGCACAAATTTGCCCACATTTTCATTAATTGTCGAATAATCCGATTGAATGTTTTCATTAATTATATTTGTCTGAAATAAAGCAATGTTTACATTAAATATTAAAATGCATACGAATTAAAGTATCGTACAGTGTATGACATAAACAATAATTACTGTACATTAAATTTAATTGTGAAAAACTTGCCTTTTCTTCATTAGACTGAATATTCCTCAAAGTTAGACAAAGCGGACAATACAAGAGATTCATGAGACCAACCATACGTATTAAGACAGTAAAGTCCAGACCGTATTGTAATAATTGGCCGCTTATTAGTGGCCCTAAAGAGTAGGCCAAACACACCGATGTCTGTGCGATGGCATAAACACTGCCATAATGTGTGAAGTACTTCGTGTCCACTATATTAGCCAGAAATGGCATAATTGCCGCGTCTATTGTGCCTAAAGTATTATATTAAATTTATAACACCATGGTCAATTAAATTTAATAAATAAATGCATACCAATTCCTAAACCAAGACCAAAGTGAGGGAGAATTAAATGAGACATATTTGATGCCAGAGGTATAGCCACACAACTGATGCCAACCACTGCTAACGAAGACACCGCTATAAACCATCTGAGACAATAATAAAAGTAAATAATTAAATGTATGTTATTTTAGTTGAATTAATTTATAAATAACCTCTCAGTAATGTTAGAGAAATATGAAATCATAAAATTAGTGCCAATTAAGTAACCAATGCTGTCCGGTATGAATACAGTACCTGTTTATGGGTTTAAATAATTGATAAATGATTGTGTATTACATGTACACATTTCATACCCAACTGCCACTTCTTCGGCGTTGGTTTCATGTTTTCAATTAACCAAAGAGGAAGACATGACTCCAATATAGACATAGAGGTCGTCGATATTCCGATCATTCCTTGCATTAAAATTTTAATGAATCCTAACTTTAAATTGAATGTAATTACTGTATTGCTCACCGATTGATATAATGATGTATTTATCTGATAATAATCTCATTATTGGTATGTCATATATTGTGCTGCTATTACTTAAAGACCAGTTAAATGTAATCAATTGACAAACTAGTGGAGAGAGAGAGAGA